AATAATAATAATAAATAATAATAATAAATAATAATAATAAATAATAATAATAAATAATAATAATAAATAATAATAAGAAATAATAATAATAAAAAATAATAATTTTAATATAAATCTTATTGGATATGTATAAATTTTAACATTGAAATGATATTCTTACATTCTCTGATATTTGTAGATTTAAAATTTATTTTTTATTATAAATAATTTATAATAATATGTAGACCTTTACCATTGATTATCTGTAGTTATCTTGTTTGGAGAAGAATTTAAAACTTAATTTCACACGAGAAGACAATTTTTATTCATTCGAAGAGAAATAAAAAAAAAATATTATTCGTTACATGTGTAGTAAAGGAAATTTTTTTTATTAAAGATTAAAATTGGTTATTTTATTACTCAAAACACATTCTATTGTAACGCGAGAATAAAAATAAATTAATAAAAAATAGAATACATAAGGAAGTAAAAAAAAAACTGCTTAGAAGAATGAAAAAATTAAAAAAAAAAAAAAACGGCATCTACTTACGTACATACCAAGCGATATTTTGTTTTGTTGGCATCGGTAACTATTAATACTGCATGCATAACATTAATATTCGAATTTATATTTAAATTATAATTGATATTATTTATATATTTGATAATAAATTTCTCCTAGTTGAGTATAATTTTGTTATGTTGCCTCATTTTTTAAATTCTAGGAATCCGATGATGAAATCGTGATTACCCGACGTATAACTGTTTTAAACGATGTTGGCTGGCTTCTGAAACGATTATGAAATATATACGAAAAAATATTTTACAAATTGTTTAATATAGTAAATCAAATTTAATAATATATACTTAAAAAAAATTACTCAAATTTTATTCAAAAAATATTATTTTTATTGTTTATATTGCGACTGATATTTAAGGAAAAACTTAAAAACGCACATCTTATTAAATAATAAACATAATTATAAGCAACTAGTTCAATCTTAATTAAAATTATATATCACACACTTACTAGAATTTTAAGAGCGGCCATTATTATTTCTAATAACATTTTAAAACATTAAAACACAGCAATTCATAATAACACCGCCTAACTGTTTGGACAATAAACCAGAACTGGCATGTAAAGTCAACTGTAATATTTCTATATGAACTGCAAGGCTTCATTTCATTTTGAAACTTCATTTACTAGCAACAGCGCGGGTTTAACCAAAATATTTTGAAGTTTTACTTATTCGTTTTCTCTCGTCATTCGTTTCATTTTCATTAGCTGCAAACTTGCTGCTATCTCTTATTATCACATACACGAAAGCATTGTTAGCTCTTTTTGTTTGATGGTTTTATTTTATCAATAGATGTCGCTGTTAATTCAATCAAGTTAATTATTTTATATACAAACGTATTTATTTAACAATTACTGCACATTATAATACATATTAATTAAATTTATATATCAAATAGTATTATTCTGTATTATTAAAGAATAGTATTATTCATAGCAATATTCTGTCAATATGTACCAAGTATATAATTTGCTATGTTTATGCTTGTACACTACGCGCTAATAGCGTATTACAATCTATGAAATATTATTATATACATAAATAGTATTATTTAGTAATTTAGTAATACTAATAGTTTAAAAATTACTATACACTATACAATTACTATTACTATACAAAATATTTATTAAGATAATACATGAAAGAAATACATGGGTTTTAAAACTACTTCTTCTATCTCTAAAAATTTGTTTAATAATACTTTTGCTTGTTGTATATATTTATATACATATGTACATATAACAAACAATATACATAAATGAATATGTGTTGCTTATTTGCAATCAGATAAGATATACATATGTACATGTACATACTAATTGGATGTAAGATATATACATATGTATGTATGTATATTATAATCAATATATGTACATTAATTATATATAATAACGACATTATTATTTGTGTATAACATATATACATATGTATATTATAATCAATATATGTACAATAATTATATATAATAACGACATTATTACTTGTGTATAACCAATATCCATAAATATGGATTGCCTTGTAATTGTTTTTTTGCAATTAGGCATACATATGTATATGTATGTATATATATATACACATAAACTATAATTTTTATGGTATAAAACACCCTGGTGAGTTTAATACTTAAAGTTTTATATTTGCGTGGTGAATTCCATACTGTTGAATATAGAGGATATGTAGAATTGCCATATTTACGTCAGTGTTTTTGTATGTAGTACATATTATTTGACTATATATCAAATAACACAGTGAATATCTCTTATATGGCGTTTACATTAGGCTCAACTGACTGACTTGGGTCAAAAATTATAAATGAAAAGCAAATGACTGACTTTGGCAAACAAAATTTCATATGCGCAAATGAGATCCACATTCGCGCAATGGATCTCATTTTCTAGAAATGAGTTTTGAATGAATTCCAAATGTAAATGAATACATTGAACATACCCTAAAGAAAAGTTTTTCATGGCTATTTGAAAGTTTGAAAAAGCTGTTTTTGACATAGTTACAAAAAAAAAGTAAACAAATACTTGGTGGCTGAAAATGAGTTGTTTCACTTCACTATAATGCCATGCCGCACACTTCTTTGACCACTCGGACTTAATTAACGAAACTTGATTGAGAAGTTTTGTTGCACCTGCTGTATAACCCAGACCTTCTCCGTATAACCATATGCGTATAACCTATTATTTACATCGTTTTAATGGTAAAATATTGGCCGATCGAAAAGCCGATAAAAACCATTTGGCTTAGTTTTGCGCTCCACACAATGGATTATGAAACTACCCCAAAAATAAACTTTATTCAAATAAATTTTCAATAAAAAAAAGGTTTGTTCAGAAATGTACCAAAAATTAATAGTCTTATATAGACTTTATGATACTTTTTATATCACCTAATATACTAAAATTAAATACATGGATTATATATTTTAATAAAGATAATTTTCGTTCAAAAATATACCAAGAAACGGTAAATATTCCTTTTATTACGATAATATATTTGAATATATTATACCATTAAAAATGATTATATTTATTATTAATTGATCAGAGCACGTAATTGTTTTTTTGTTATTATTTGAACTAACCAACACTATTAATTTTGTAAAGTATGGGTTAACATAT